ACTGTGACTGTGCACTGAAGAACCAAATCTGCTGCAATCTGAATGCCACTATTTGAGCTTATGTTTATCCCTGGAGCTGACAGATATCCTGTAGATATTTGCAGCTTATTAAAAAAATAAATAAATAAATCTTCGATGCAGTAAGAAAATGTAAACTAATGTCATTTCAAATCTCAGAAATTAACTGCTTACTAAGATTGTGGTAATGCTCTTCCACAGAGAGCGACATGATTTCTCCCATTTTTTTTTCTTCAAGGTTGTAAAAAAATAAACTGACAGCATGGTTGGCGAAGCTACTGAAATGTCACCTACTCAACCTCCAAGATTAGCTGCAAAAATGAGGGCGGCAAAAGCTAACAAGACATGCTGTTCTCACCACTTGTCAGCTTTTTGTCAAGATTCCTTTTGCGAAATGGTTCAACTTCCAATACACTTGCATGAGCTGCTCGTGGCTTCAACAAGCAGCTGATTTGTCTGTGATATTCTTTGCTCAGCTTCTAATGTTAAATTTAGAGAAAAAAAAAGAAACTGAAGTAAAACTCTCCAACTTTCTATCCTTGTTAGACAATTTTGTTCAGTGTGGCTCTTATTAGGGATCTCATTAAATATTGCTAATAAAACAGGAACAGAGGGGTTACTTTAATAACCTGAACACAGTTGGATGGACCATCTGTTTTAATTTGTTTAATCTGTGTCATTTTGCTACACCCCAGACACTGTGTCTTCTCAAGTGGGGAGGTTGAAATGACGCACAGCACTTTTCATCCTTTATTTAGTAAAAACTAGACTAAACACGACTCTTCCATCCCACAATCATATACTAGGATATGTTGGTCTGTCCTGCCACACAGTTAAATACATTTAAGTTTGAGGATTTAGTGTGACAAAGCCACAAAGTGTGAAACCATCTTACACAAACAGGTTCAATTTAAATCCAGGTCTGTGTCTTAGTGTCAAATTAAACTGGGATTTTATTTCTCAAATTTCAAAATCAGTGCAACGTACCTGCTTTCAGATAAATGGTTCATTTGCTTACTTCTGCAGAACTCCCAACACTGGCTCATAAGGCTGGACTTGGCTCCAGTATATGAACTTTTATAATCTGATAAAAAAAAACAACAAAAAAACAACAACTTATTGTCAAATAATACATTTCATCGCCAGAAGGTGCCATTATGGAGCTACAATGCTATTAGATAATAAGTACGGAAGCATTTTTTGAGCAGTGGAACTGGAAGAAGTCCAGTATTTTTGGTGGAACAATCCCAGTCTGTCTTCCAGAAAAGGCGCATTCAGTCAGTCGAGCGACTTGAAAGCGGCCAGTCGGTCAAGTCAGTGAACTCATTAGTGTCCACCTCAAAACAGTAAAAGAGTAACAACATTTTGTGGACACACCTTTCTACTTCGAGAGCAATGTTACCGTTGAAGCATGAAGGTGGTGAAGTGCTTACAGATTCAGGGCCCCATGTGTTTGTTTGCTAGGCTCTGATGTTGAATTTAATTGTCCAAGTGGCAATGAAGATCTGCGCCACTGAACTATGCAGCAACTGTAAGGCTTTATATTAAATTAGTTATTTGACTACAGTATAATTCTGAAATTCTACCTGATAAAATTGCCAAAATGTGTCTCCCTCAGCTAGACAACTCATTTTAAGCTGCAAGTTGTACTGTAATGTAAAATACAGATGTTCAGCTCAGTACAGAAACGCCTTGTTTGCTGACCTCCTCAAGCACAATGTTAGCTTTTTGTTTTTTAATTTAGTCATAGCTCTGAGTAAAAGACCTTGGCAAACAAGGCTTTAGCCGCTCTGCCCAATTATCACTGCGGTATAGAACAGCTGTGTAGCAGCACTAGCAGAACAAATCACTCATTAATCACCCATTTGCCTTAAAATACAGCAACAGCAGGGAGGTGGCCAAAAAGGTGCCAGCAATTTTATGCTTTCATTAGCAGCTTACTGTAATAATTACCTGAGGGCTGCATGAAGGTGAGTCTTGTGTTTTTGTAAAATTCGCGCAAAAATGCTGCGCAGGAGTTAAAAAAAGAAAAAAAGAGATCAAGATGCTGACATCCTTCGTGTTGTCCTTATATAACACGTTCGTGTTGGAGGTCTGAGACTTCCCACTTGTCCCCAGAGGTGGCTGTTTTCTTACCAACTTAAGGTAGAGGACGTTGTCAGGACGCGGCAGCTTATACATGTTAATGCTCCCTTTTTCCCATTCTGCTGCTGTTAGATTGATGGCTCGGCAGTGGTTCTCATTGATCAATCAGACACAGTCTGCGTCTCAAATGAACCCCGACTGGGGGAGTTGTGCATTCTTCCGAGGGAGCCGCGTCCCGAGGGTTACGACAGTGAGATGCACTGGGTCGATAGTTTTTAACTTATTTGTGTAAATACTTTTTTTAACCTTGCTGATTTATCATCTGTGTTTAATTTGCCACAGAAAGAGAGAGAGAGAGAAAGGGAGAGAGAGAGAGAGAGAGAGAGAGAGAGAGAGGACGTCATCCAGCCCAACGACACGGCTGTTCGACTTGTACTTTTCATCTTCGTGGTCAAGGCAGGAAAGAGGAATACAAGAAAGATGACAATTAATTATGCATTTCATCAGCATGATGGATACCACACTCTTAACTCCAAACTATATTTCCCTGGAGAACGCTGAGCATTCAACTCATTCCTCGAGTGAATCCTCTGAGAAATGTTGTCAGTTCAGGAGATGATATTTAAAAAAACTGCTTTTTACTTCTAGCTCTGAAGTGGCTTTTTATACAAGACTTTTTCTGTTTTTTAAGTAAATCACTCTTTGGACAAAAATAAAACCTGCTACCTTTTGCATCGGAATTAAGACCAAAAATATTTTTTTTTTTTTTTTTTTTTGCAAACATTTTTCAGCAGTTCAGGTCACGCCATTCTAAATATGTCCTGATTTACAAAGAGAGTTTTCAAGAATTTCATCAATACATCAAGAGGAATTTGAAAGGTTTTTACTTTACTTGGACTGGGCCGCCAGATGCTGATCTAATTTTCCAATATCTAATTTTCATAGAAGCACATTTTTCTTTACCACTTATGAGAATGAGAAAGACAGCAAAACATACAGCTGAAACTAAACAGTTACACTGAGTAAAAAGACACGAAAACAAGTTGAGAAGTTTATATACTGTTTTTTTTTTTTTTTTTTTTTTTTTTAAAATCACCTGTTGGTCTTGGGCAATCTTTCCACAAACTTCTCACAACATTTGCTGAAAACTTGCCATGACTGAGTGAGGCCTGTTGGTTGCTTCATTGTCTTACTCACGGGTTTGGTTTGTTCTTCAGTACAGCTTTTAAAAGTGTTGTGCTGTCACTGCTTTGCCGTGTGTTTTTTTTTTTTTTTTTTTTCAGATGAAATGTGTCTGAAAACATTTTTTATTCCACTTCGACTTTCAAAATCTCAGTAGCAATTAGATGTAGGCTTTCCATTTGAGTTGCTCATTCTGCAGATCATCATCCAGTCAAAAGGCCCACCTACATAACACAGCATCTCAGAGCTCTGTCTTTTATCTTTGATGCTATGCAAAACTTACTTTATAATAAGGCTGTGCAGTCCTTAAAAGAAGCTACATGCAGCCATAACATTCTATAAATTTCCTTTCATAAGAAATATAAGAACCTCCTCGTAAAAAGACGTCTTTCATCTTCTCATAAGACGTCTAATGTTACAAGCAGCTGCCTGAGTTGAGCTGTCTGTCTGCAAATTATTCTAAAAAGCCTTTTCGGTATACCATCAAGCTGCAGTTTTATTCCAATATCACTGGTCTGGGAAAAATTTATTTCCCCCATCCATTTTGATTTTTTTTTTTTTTTTTTTTTCTAAATTTATGTTTTCATTAAATTTTAAAGTTCACTTTTTTATTTGAAATGAGGTTTTGTGAGAGTTTTTGATGAGCCAGTATCTTATCTGCAGCACATTTCTGTCATCCTTTCTGTATTTTAAATAGACATTCCAGAGGATTTTCAAACTTGGACAGAAAGCAAAACAACTCCAGCCTGAAAATGTCATAGAGGTTCATGTGAAGACTTTTAATATCAGCTTTCACTAAGAAGTCAGGAAAATCTTAATGGAAAGTCGTTTCCAGTCATGTACACTGGAAACGAGGGTGGCCTTCTCCATGCAAGATAAACAAGGTTTGTTAAAGAGACGGCTTCTCATTACAACAAAAAAAAAGTCTCAAAAACGCCACAGCTTTTCATCTAGCATTTCAGTGTTCTATGATGACAAAATTCCAAATTTACAAGGACAACTCCAAAATTATTAAAGCTTTTCTTGTATGCAGCCATTTCTGCGGCAACGGTATAAAACTACCTCAGTTTATTTTATGTACCGCTAGAAATGTTTAAACCAAGGAAGTACGATTTGCTTCCCACATCTGTGACGACTCTTAAATGTCATTGTGCATTCAGGAACCAGCAACAATACCACCCCCACTACGTCTTGTCACATTAGCAGTGAATGTTGTAACAGCAAATACGATCTGATGATGCGTCTTTAACACATCATATAAACCAAGGTCATGAAGAACTCACTGGTGCAACTGTCTACATGCTTCTCATCGTCTTTCCAGGCGTGTCGTCTGTTGGTGTAAGCAGTTGTGACTGGTCCCTTAAGTCACAGAAAAAAGAAAAAAAAATCACTAATAATCTCACTGGAGCCATTTGATAAGAGTCTCCTGCTGGTGGCATGCTCCACTGACATCAGATCAACACTGATCTGGGTTTTTGGGGTGCATGAAGAACACAGCCCCGCTACCCATTACATGATGGAGCTTAAATGTTCCCAGATCATTTAAGCCTGTACATCCCTCCATTGTCTGTACCCACTTGTCCATGCAGGGTAGCAGGGGAGCTGGTGCTTTTCTTCAGAGGTTATTGGACATTAAGCACCATGGATACATCACACAAATTTAAGTGCAATTTAAATAGAACAGTTAACCTAACATTCACATTTTTGGACTGCAGGAGGAAGTTGGAGTACTTGGAAAGAACCCATGCATCCGGAGAATATCCAAAGTCCATACAGGAAGAGTCTAAGCAGGGATCTGAACCCAGGACGTTCTGGAACTGGTGGGTCATTTTCTTCCCCAGTCCACCTCTGATTGGTTGCCTTCACAAATGAAAGTCTTTCATTTCAATTTCCCCCTTTCACTTCATTTCTATATTGATAAATGTTGAGTATAAATGAACACTGTAGACTTTTGATTTGCTTTTGTCCTTCCATATTTGGGCTGAATATGGTGTTGGAAACCTTACAAAAACAATGTGGCATACAAAATCAAACAGCAAACCTAAAACTAAAACAAACCGAGTTTTACAACAAGAAGAAAAAATTAAATGTCAACAAAAATTTCAAAACATATACCCCCCCAAAAAAAAACAACAACAAACACACACAACTACTTGGATTAACTTAACTTTGTAAAGAATTTGAGACAGAATGCCAATAACCAGTTTGCGCTTTGATCACATTTTTCTGACAGGGTTATATTCATGAAGTCCATGAAACTTTTTTTCAACCCTTCTTTATAGCCATAAATCAGGCCCAGCAGCTGACAGCCGCTCCTCTCATGTGGAGGAGGCAGACAGTGAAAAAAGATGCTGATGTTTCCTCTCAAACACAGAGATCCACCTCGGGCGGCATCGGCTCTGTCCTTATTTGTCATAAGTGTCCAAGACAAAGGCCAAGGAACGTACGAGGAACATACATTTTTAATGTGACATCCTCATCAAATTCACCACAGTGGACTGAGCAGAATGCCAATGACGCTTTATTCCTCCTCCAATTACACAGAGACAATCTAACAATATGTACACAAGCTGTGAAGGGCACATCTGCCTCCGACATGACAAAGTTGAACAGTTCAGTACTCCATCTCCTGTGAACTTTTTATGTCAGCATGGTGTTTGATTGGGAAATAACCGGTTTTCAGCAAGATCTTTAGAGGCATTCATCAGTGGAGCACAAAAGGCCGGAAAATATGAAAAACGATCAGTTTCATATCAGAGCTGCTTTGTCTGTTTTTGTGACTCCTGCTGCAAGAAAGATACCTTCACCGATAGTTAGATGTACAAGAAATAAGAGAGCACTACATCATAATTATAGCTCACATTATTTATACAGTATGACATCTCGGTGAATGCTTATTTGACCAGACTTCCCTTTATCTTCGTTCGAATATGCTGACCGTTAGACTGCACCCATTATTTTACAGCGCCGAAAATGTCACAGGAGACTAAGAGATAGTCGTATCCGCCGCCGCGTTGGGAGAAAGGGAATGTAAATAATCCTAAACCGCAGTTTTCATTTCTGATGTTCTTTTCCGACGCTCTGCCCGCACTCCGTCATTATAATGAGGGAGGCTCAATTAGACGAGGTCTACAATGAAGGTTTTAAATGTCACAGAGCAGGTCCTGACATTTCTCTGTTTGATATGGAATCAGAATAGGAGTGGAGTTCACACAGAGAACTAATCTCAACCTCCGAAATAACAAATTCCACCCTGTCAGGGAGCGCCGAAGGGAGGCTTCTGTGGTCACTTAGGGGACATTTGCACCGACGGTGTTGGTTTGGACCTCTTAGAGTTTTTTAATGATGGAATCCATTAGCATTGTTTAGGGGTGTAATTAGCCCTCTGAGGAGCACATAACGAGGAGTCTTGTGGTATTTTTACGAAAGGCAATTGGGTTGTCAAATAAAAAAAAAAAGACTTAAGAATGACAACTTTTAACTTTTGGTAATTGGAGTTACTATAATTGCTTTGGAGAACTAAACAAGGGGGGGATGAGGGGGTGAAAAACACATTCTCAGACAACATGAGTAGTCACACAGGCTGGAAAAGTTTGGAAAAAAATCAATGGAAGTGCTTTCAATGTCTGGATAAAAATGGTAAAAGAAGGAAGAGTATTCAATATAGAATATAGTCCAGATTATATTCTCTCTACCATCAAAATGGAGTATGAGAATTTCTTCAAATAAGTAGCAAAACCAATGTATTTTATTACCAAATCATATAAAACATGCCGTGTTGCATCTATCTATCTTTCTGTCAGCCTGTCCATCCATCCATTTATGGAAATGCCCAAAATTCATTGAGAATTTTTTGAATTCAAACTGGTTCAAAAACCCGGAAACGTTTCTGGAACCCAGAACGACTGAAGCGTCGCAAAGTGCTGCTGCTTCTCAAAAGATACTCTTCTCAGTTTTAATGCCACATACGCTGCAGCTCCTCTGTATGTGTTCTCAGACTGGCAGAGAGTAATTTGCAATCACAGACACAGCGATTAACTGTATGTTTGTACCGACGGTGGTTTTCAGCCCAGGCAGAAACTTCTACCACAGAATCATGTCTGTGTTTCATGCGGTGCTGCCTGAGGGCGTAAAGATCACAGCTAGTCAGTATTTGTTTCAAACATGTCCTTGGGGCGAGCAAATTTTTTGCATACATTCGGAATTTAATTATACAGTGAAAGGAAAAAAAAAAAACTGAATTCCTCAGTTTAATGTCTCAGATGCTGAATTCCTTGTCTTTTATGTCGTTTAATTTGCACCTCAGGATCCTTTTTAAAAAATGTCAAGTTCCTGTGAATGTGCTCATGTCAACAAAAGTTACAGCTATTAGCAGCTAATTAAGGCATTACATGTTTAATACCTACATAATTTAGCAGATTTTACAATAAAGAACATTGTTTTCCCACTATAGTGGATCATCTACATAATGTTTGACGAGGAAAAGTTGATAGTAAGTTTTAGACCAACTTGCTGACACAAATTAAACATCGATGCAGTTTTATAGTGTATAGATTAATACGTTTCATTCTTTTTCCATTTGTTCTGATGATGTAGGACAAATTGGAAGGACAAACATTTCTGGATTACGTTCACAACCGTCACTCACAGGAGGAGGCGGCGGCGGAGGGGCCTTCACTGTTTAAATAGAACCAGATCCGAAAGAAGTGTGGAAGAACACCATGCTCCCTCCGCTTGAATGTCAAAAAACAGATTGTTGGTGTCCTATCACTAGCAAGAACGGTGACCTTACAGTGGATGAAATACCATCTGCTCAGCGCTCCAGCTCAACTCTAATAAGCACAGGATTGTTCACAAAGACGAGACAGAAAAAAGCCAAGAAAAAAAAAAAAACAGATAAAAAACCATTTGTAAGTCTGGGCTGGGGCTATCTGAATGTCAATGAAGGCCCCGAGTGTTCTGCAGTGTTCAGATTGGAGTCTCAGACAATAGAGCCTGTGTTTGTTCTTCCTCAGAAAGTTGGAGGAGGACAGAGAAGGGGGGAGAAGAAGAAAAGGCGAGGTTGTCAGTTGAAGGGATTACGCATTGTAAGAAGTATGATCATTCGTCTCTGTTTCTGTGTCGAGTGAATTTCTTTTTTATGTACCAGGATCTTTAGTTAAGCTGATTGTTTTTCCTTAAACCCAGTAGTGATCTCTGTTGGAGGCAGCCGGGACCAGTGACTTGGCGGACAGAAGAATCACACAAACAGGTGGGTGTGGCGACGCAGTCAAACTTGGTTTCAGATATTTTATTAGTGCAACGGCATAAAAGCAGGAATACCTTTTAGCCTGACAAGATTTTAGATGAGTCCCTTTTTTGTTTTTTTTAAAGTGACAAATTTAGCTATTTCTGCTGTTTAAACTTGGTTGGTTTATGTTGTTTTCCAAAATTATTGAAAAGATTTAGCCCTTCGCCTTTTCTCACCACAAAAGTTTGGAAATATCTCAGTCAGTTAGCCATTCAGATGTCCAGACTAATTCTTTTCATCTTCATTTCAACTTTAAGTTGCTACTTTCGGTACTTACTAGATGAAATTAAAATTGCCTTTGCAATCACAATGCACTCTAATATTCAGTGAGATTATATATTGTTTAACAACAATAACAAATATGTAACTAATATTGTTAATACTCCAGCTAATTGCTTATTGGCTACAGTTACCAACATTTGTCTTTAAAATATTAAAGTAACCACAGTTTGCTTTAGTTGCAGCCGTACAACTTCATAAGTATGAAAAGATCCTCAATATGGTGAAATGTTACACAACTTAGCCCACAATGTAGCATCTATCCTGTACAATTCAAGTGAAGAACGATGAAAATTATGAGAGGAAGAAAAAAAATACAAAACAAAGTACCTCTGTCGCTACATATGGTTAATATTTTGTTTAAAAAGACAACAAAGAAAAACCCTCATTTGTTTATATTCATGACTGAGTCTTCTTAAGTACAGTCCGAACAAAATTATAGCAAAATGATCAAATAAATATAATTTTGTATTCCAAATGAACTAATTGCAAAAACTCCAAGTGTCCAACTTGCTGTAAGTTTTTCTTAAATATATATATTTTCTCAACAAATTCCATTTTCCAAACAGGTTGATTATTTTATTTTTTGGCAGACTGTTTTTTTTTTTTTTTTTTGAGACTTTATTACATTTGAGACATGCACATCAGAACAACAATGCTGGTGAGAACTTGAGCAGAAATTGCAACGTCTACCTGAAGCTTGTGTCACAAATGGTCATTCGTTGCATCAGTGAAGTACAGGCAGACTATTTTTCACTAATCACAGAGCACTTTATTCCTTCCACGGGGTGCTGGTTTGTTAGGTCTCAAAGCAACTGCTAAAAGACATTTTTCTAGCGTTCCTCCACCTCGCTGAATGATTTTACCTTTGAATCTTCAGGTTATGAACTCAAAAAATAGAGCTTTTTTTCTTTCAAATGTATCAATTTTGGTTGTAGAAGTTAATTTTGTTAAAGTAAGCTACAAGCCTGAACACATTTCACAGGGAAAAGTTATAAACATAATGATTTTTACATTTAATAACACATAAAACTCATTACTCAACGAATATTAAGTGAATATTCACTTTTTTATGAAAATACACCAACATAAAATACAGTGAGCTAAATATGGTGCACTCCACTGCATTCTTTATTTAATGATTGAAGACAGCATGTGTTTTATGCTTTTGTAGCCTAATTAAGAGGCAATCAAATGCTGACTTTAATTGAAACCCCTCTAGTCATGGCTTATTCTATGGTCGCAGCATACAAGAACTTAATTGTTTTTTTTTTTGTTTTTTTTTTGTTTTTTTTTGTTTTTTTCCCCCTCAGAAGCAGATAAACAACAGAACGTGGTGCTAATACTTATAAATCTCTGTAAATTTATTATATTTTGCAAAGCAGAAATGATACCTTGTATTTTTAATAAAATAAAACAAAGTCATACATTAATAAGTCACATCGTGACTTGACATCCCTCTGCCTTAGTCTTGGTCCCGATTTAGTAAACACAACCTACATGTCAGTGTCAAAGTTGTTGATTTATGAAGTTAAATGATAAACTGCGACTCCCCTGGCTGACTCCCAAATGACCAATTAAGGATATTTTGTCTGAAAAGCGTGATCTTAAGGAAGTGACAATTAGTAGATGCACTTTTCTTTAACAATTTCAAGTAGCAGGAAACAAATCACACTAGTAAGTCTTTATGTAGTGCACAGTAAAAACACCTTTAAAACATTTTCTTTTTTGAAATTTAATCTCAATATAACTCCAGCTGTTCTGAGAATGCCTCAGAGGTTTAGTGGACATTAGTGAACAAACAGCATCCTGAAGTAATAGAGCACTGAAAATACTGGATAAGTTAAATTACATTAATGTAGATAGGATGATTTCCTTTCTGTCAGCAAACACATTTTGTCGAACACTTAAAGAATCTAAAATTCTAAGCTTGTCATTTCAAAATAACACGATTTACTGAAACAAAACTTTCTATCCGTCCATTTGCACCAATTTTATTTTGGTGAATCGGAGAAACGGAGGTAGCAGATTGAAGTTTGTGGTTGTAACGTGAAAAAAAATGGAACAAGTCAGAATGACTGATTCTTTTAAAGCAACATAATTTATGCTCTTTTCAGTTGGACATCTTGCTAGAGCATTAATGTATTAATTCAGGCAGCAACAGGAATTGATATTAATGTGTCATCCACAATGTCAAAAGACGGACTCCGTTTCATTATTGCCTTGCTTCGATGTACAACGTCTAAATGCGTTGGCACTTTAGGATACCTTTTAATGGCATCCTGGAACCATTCCTACAAAAGAGCTGCGTTTTATGAGCTAGAAGACGTATGGAGAAATGATGGGACAGTCTCAGCGCATCTACTGCCTAACATGGTGAGACTGCAGCTCATTGTCATTCTGTCATGTGGCAGAGCATCAGCGCAGCTCGGTACATATGGGCTGCAAGAGGCTGGCTGGAAATGGGAGGAAGGCCTATTAGATTTAATGAATGGCTGTCAAGCACAGGCCACTCTACATGTTCCATGTGTCATGTACAATGAGGATTTCTTTAAAATGGAGAAAATATACCATTTAGTCCAATGAGTCTCTCTAGTTTTAGGTCCTCAGAGGGTTTTTTTTTTTTTCCAGAACACTTTAACACATGTAAGTGCTGATATGCTTGTATAAAAGCCTCTATCTACAAAATGAGCTTTAAAACCACGCTTTGGTTTAGCTGCTCTTGTTATCAAGTACTATAAGCATGGCTGTCACACGCGCACACACACACGCACACACACGCACACAACATGTTTTCACCATACTCATGCCTCACATTTCCCTTTTCCAGACCCTGACCTAAGCTTCTCTGGCTTTATTTATCCACAGTTTCATCACTTACTTTCAAAATGCCCCATCTTGTTAAGCTGACAGCCAAACATCTCTTGACCTGTGCACTATTTCAGCCCACAGAAGCGTTTTGAAACCGATTCCTTGGTTTGTTGGCAGTTGCTTGGTGTAGCATCATTGAGGGGCTGTTGTCTGGGTGTTGCCTCGAGACTTTCGGTCCAGGCACACGCCTGGCAGCCGCCGTGAAAGACAACAACGCCTCACGATTCACTGGTCACTAATTGGAGTGTCACTCCACAATGCTCAGAGATATGAATATGGCCTGTGCAGACGTACGAACGCACAAACAGATGCCCTCATTCGGGTCCTTTTGTGAAATTTCATTTAGGAGGAAGTCCTGTATAAGGACAGCTTTTTGCAAATGAATCTTGACAGCTAATTTACATTTACAGGATTAAATATGGGAATTGTGATGTCATAGAGTATTGATGCTGCCACTGTGTTGCTGAAAGGCAGATATTTCACTCACTTCCAACTACCTGTTGTTGTGAGCTGTCAGTTTGAGGTCGACAACGACCAAAGCAAGTGAATTAGCATTTTCCATGATTTACAAAACAAAAAAAACAAAAAAAAAGTTGGCTGCGTGTGTTAACGTGTGTGTTGAACTTGTAAAGGGTTCCCCAGGCCTGTCAGACAACACGTAAATGGAAGTGCCTAACAAATTTGCTGTTGGTCCTGACTTTCATTGTCCTCGCACTCTTGACCCCGATCTCGCTGCACATTATAATTGGTGCATCGATTTGACTCAGAGTTTGTCAGCGGTATATGCGTCTCTGTTTTCCGTGTCCAGGGAGACATTGATCTAATTAGAAGTCTTCATTCGTCAGCTGCGGAGTATAGTGCCATCCTTAAGGAATGATAATCTGCCTCATCATCCCAGACATAAAACACAATACAGGGCATTGTCTAAATGTAAAACAAATCATGGCTTCGCTGACATAGACAAGTTGAGAAGCTTTCTGTAAATTGCACTTTGGTTCCAGCAAACCTTCAGTTTTCTACACACTATGTTAATGATTTTGAGGAACTGTAAAAAGAATCAGTCAACATTTTTGTTCAAGCTATTGCAGGATTTTGCTGTGTTATAATGTAGCTGTGAGTGGGTCATTTTCTGTGAATTAGTACGAACGTTGAATGCTGTTCAGGCGACATTGACTAAAAGTTTGATTTGACAAAGTGGAAAAAAATTCCTAATCATTCAGCTTTGCTGAAAAGAATGTGCTTCCATTCGACAGAAATTTTGTGCACAAACTGAAGTCATTCATTTAGCAGGTTTAATTTAATTGTGACCTGTTATTTCAGTTATGAACCTGCGTACAAACTATATCGGAAGATGGGATGCAGCACTGTCAAGATTGTGATCGACAGCGCTGGCGAATAAAGGATTACCGACACACACAACAACCCCCTTCTTTCCTATCGTTGTTTGACCATGGGAGCTGGAGAGGAAATGCATGCACGGACAGTAAAAATGAGCACCCCGGGGGTGCTGGCTGTGGTGACAGTGTTTTCTATGATTCCCGGCGGGTTACTGAGTGATATAAGAGATACTCAGGGTCTGGAAGGCCAACAGCTGGCCCGGGGCTCCACTGTTCTGCACCATCGCCAAAAGAGGGGCTGGATTTGGAAGCAGCTGTTTGTCCAGGAGGAAGATCCGACTTCTCAAATTATTGGCCAGGTGATGCTTCAAACTGAACGCCCGCCATGTCCTTGACATGGTTATTCCCTTTGAAAACACATGTTTATCATTTTCCTCAGAAAAAGTCTCCCTATACCTTCCTTTCTTCCTTCTCTGTAGGTCAAATCTGACTCTGATCGAGGCAGTTTTACTATCAAGTACGTATTATCAGGAGAAGGTGCTGGAGACGTGTTCAAGATAGACGAGAATTCTGGAGAAATCTGGACTCTGAAGAAGCTGGACCGCGAGAAAAAGGCCTTCTATGTCCTTCAGGCCCAGGCTATAAACACAAGGACCGAGGAGCCAGTGGAGCCCCAGTCTGAGTTCATAATCAAAGTGCAGGACATCAACGACAACGCTCCGCAGTTCCTGAACGAACCTTATGTCTCCAGCATCCCTGAGATGAGCCCAGTAGGTATGTATCGTCTTTGCTGTTGTTCTGAGGTGATGTAAGATGAAAGTAACTTATTTTAATCAAATGATTCAATGTCTTGAAAGATATATTCAACTGTTTCAATTAGAGATTTTCTTTTGAGCTTTTATGTGATAGATCAACGCAAAGAAATGTTTGTGGTAAAAAATGAAAAAATTGTGGAAGGACTGAAAGTTTTGGCAAAGAGCTGTACCAGAAAACACCCAACAGTTGTTGCCTTAATTGAACCAAAGAGCGAAGGAAAATAAAACAGTGAGATATAATTAGATTCTTAACTCAAAGAAGAGTCCCGAGTGCGTTTCAGTTAAAAATAATGAGTCCAGCTTGTTTTCAGGTTCTGTGTCTACATCCAGGAAGAAAGAGAAAGATAACCAGTATATTTCCAAACTATAAAGCAGTAAAGGTTTGTGTGTTTCATGAATTTTCCATTTACTGGTATGTTTACCGTAACGAGGTTGATCCAACCTTTTAGTTCTGAGATAAAAGGAAAACTGTCTTAAATGAAATCCCAACTGAAGACCATGAACAAAGAAGCATAGGAGCGTCTGTTATCCGCCCGTCCCCCTTTCCGGAAGTTAAAAGTATTGGATTTTCTATCACAGCTTGGATGCTTTTATTGATAGATTTCTTAAATAAGTTTATTATAACCATTGCACTTTCATGGGGGAAAAAAAAAAAAAAAAAAAAAAACATTACCATTTCATTTTGTATGTAATCTGATTCTGCTGCATAATACCCCCCAACCCATAATAAATCACAATGAATTTGACTCAGAGAGGGAAAGTGAAAGGGGAAGGTTGAAGCGAGGGCAGCCGAAAATAGGAAACGCGGCGGTAAAGCCGCGCCTGTGAATGAAAGACAGACCACTCACATGGAAGAAAGAATGAGACAGAGAGCAGGCATGAGCAAGATATCTTAGAAACCAAGGTGAGGGCAAGGATATGGTCAGCTCAGAGAGAGGTGGCAAGTGTGAAAGATAGTGAAATAAAACTGAATCAAGGAGAGAAAACCTGGGGCAATGGGATAGAGAGATGTCCCTACAGGGCTGGAAAGGTTGTCACGCACACCTGCTCTATATTGTGAAAGGCCAACGCGACCCCCCCCCACCACTCCCTTCTCTCTTTTGTCAACATCCCTCCACTAACTCTCCCTCAGACTCGCTCTGCTCTCCGCTTTTTCCATTTCCACTGCCTCCCTCTCCACCTCCTGAGTCAGACAGACAGACCCTGCGGGACTGTGGCATAATCACTTTATTTCCCTGTCGACTGGAACTGCTGCCTGAGTGTACTCTGACTGTGCAATCCGCTCCCTGCCCCCCACAGGGACCACGGTGGCCCAGGTGACAGCCACAGATGCGGATGATCCCATGTTTGGCAACAACGCGAAGCTGATCTACTCCATCCTGCAGGGGGAGCCCTACTTCTCTGTGCAGCCAAAGACGGGTACGGCACTGAACCGACACGCTGTGTGTCCAATTCCTTCCTCTGTTTCTAGAAATTAAGCCTAAAAGGATAAAGATATTAGGAAGGGCAAATTTTCAAAATAAAACTTTAAACTATCAGGAAAAAAGGTTTTTGTTTCACTAATTGCTGGGAGTTTTCAGATAATTGCTAAACAGGCCATATTTTAGAAGAGAAATATATTGTAGCAGATTAATGGAAAGCTTGGTGGAAGGATACAGTGTCCTAGAAAAATTTGCCCAGACAACAGCAGCAGTCATAAAGGTTTTGAAGTGATGCATTTATAGGAATTTGGAAGGAACGCTTGGTGATCCACAGAATAATGTATGCAAGGATGCTAATTGTTGCAGCATGCTGCAACGAAGAGAGTAGAGCCAAAAGTTACTCAAGAAATCGATCGTAGACCTATGTCGCATAGACTGTAGCTGGAGTCAGGACTTCAGGAGCCACCATATGGAGAGGTCATCAGGAAATGGGCTTCAGCTGTTGCTGTTCTTGTGCTAAATCCTCCAGAACCAGGCCTGTCACAATCATCAGTCATCTTACATGAGATAAGAAAACAGACAGCCTGTTGGTGGTCCACAGACCTCTGACATGTTTCTTTACACTCAGAAGCCCAAGTCATCAAAATGATCAAAAATTATTGCTTGAAATATGCTAAAATATTTCACTCTATTTCTAATAAATCTATATAAGATTTTTTTTTTTCAGTTTTTGAATTTAATCATAAAAATAAATACACTTTTCAGAGATATTTGACTTTGCTGAAATGCCCCTCCAGATCTCTTTTGACAGGACCAGACTCAATCATCCTCTCATCTTCAAACATGAACGGTGACAAATTTTCCTGCTCTTTCAGTACAAGTGACCTCCTCTAAAATGTGATTCAACAAGTTTTCATGAATACAGGATTCATGCTTTAATACCGGGGTCAGCCACAGCACTTCCCACACACATTGTTGACCTGAACTGTGAAGAGCTTTAAGGGGGCATTGTTGACGCTGAAGAAATTTTAAATGCAAATTGATGCAGTACATGGGAGGACAAAACCGACTTGTAACAGAGCCCATTGTTATATTTTTTTAAAAAAAAGTAGAGCAGTAGGCAGCAGTTCTCTGTAAACGTCTACATGTCTTTAGGTTTGTTGATGATTTCAGATGTGAGAAATAAGTATCTTTTATTTTAACATTTAAAGATGTCATGGTGGTTTTGAGTGATGTGCTATAGGTGATCACTTATCAGGCAATTCTGCTTAATGCAAATGCCCAAAATAATTTGTATATCAACATTATGACTTTGTTTAAAACTCTCTTGAAAAAGAAGAAAACAAAAAACAATGTTTTCACTCAGTACTGATTGCATTTAATCCATTGGTGTCAAACATTAAACAGTTCAGATGAGTTTTAAAGTGAAGCAGTTAGCTCAGAGGATATTTGGTTTCCGATTAGCTTTTGTAAAGTTTAATGTCACGTTATCATAAAATTACATGCTTGCACTGATGGAAAGGATGGCCTTGAAGATACCAACGGGTTCAGTCTAATTCTGAAATTGTTCTTCAGTTCGCTGTTGCCCACAGCCTCCACTCTGGCCAGACAGAAGAACCAATAAGCCATCTCAAAGAGCGCTTAACATTTAATTTTTTTTAGCTGATTAAATTCTTGATGACTGTTGTGGATGGCTCTCCAAAGGACTGCTTCGGGCAATCTTTGTTTATTTACCTTTAGTTTAACGAAACATATGTAAGAGCCACAGAAATGCACTTAATGAACCAAATACTTAACTTTTTCCGTCCACTCTGTCCATCTCTTCTCCCTCCGCGCTGCAGGAATCGTTGTGACGTCCTGGGCTGATATGAACCGTGAAGCCAGGGAGGAGTACCTGGTGGTGGTGCAGGTGAAGGACATGCTGGGCCTCAGCGGCGGCTACTCCTCCACCACCACGGTTACCGTTACTCTGACCGACGTGAACGACAACGGGCCCACATTTCAGCAACGTGAGTCACGCACGCGACTCGCGGCTGATGCGAAATTCTGAGGGCCACATGCGTACGTACAAAAAAAAAAAAAAAGAAAGAAAAAAGTCTGGTAATCAATGAAAGAGTACAAAGTGTTGCAGACATCGAGGAAGTGTTTCATATTGTACCTACCAGGTATTTATTTGATCCCGCTCCTCTGGTTCGGGTGGGCGGCTGTTGCTGCTGGCGCTGCGTTTGACTGTGCACGTCGTGGCTTTCAGCCGGCGGCCCAAAATTAAAAAGCAGACAGTCGAAAGGATGAGATGGGAAAAGCTGCACACATCTGCGTGTGCACACGTACGTGTGCCACATGCTGGTTGGATTTAATCATTCACACATGAAAGGACATTCGTCATGACCTTTGGAAACAAACTGAGCCTTCTCAGGGATAAACCTTACTAAACGACTGCAGTGGGAAGAAATCAATTCTGCAGGAAAGAGCCGGCAAGGATTGAGCTTTTAACTATTAATGTCACATCCCAATTCATAGCAGGCGCCGGTGTATCCCACAGATTCTGTGTTTGGTGAAAAAAGCCTCATTAATATTAGATGGCTGCACTTCACTTTGAACTGTGCCCTCTGCATTGTCACATAATTGCAAATTATTATCAGCAGGGCTATTTTTCCACCACCCCAGAAGCAGCTGGTTGCCTGTTGAGTTGCTCCCAGTAGTGCCAGTCCCTCAAAAAGGAGCCGCTCGAAGACACAATCAGATTTTCTCATCTTCTTATTAGAGTTAGGCTGGGATTATATGGGGTTTGCCACAACTTATCTGGGACTCACACAAATTGACTATCTACCTCAGTGTTCTGTCTCTCATATCACTTTAGAAACCTGCAGAATCTCTTTTCTGGCTATTGACGATTTGCAGTCACCTTCTGTAAACAATATGTTGCTGGATAAATACTTTGTTGCATTTCACAGTAGCTTTCAAAAGCATTCATACCCCGCGATCTTTTATTACTTTTTCATGTTATGACCACAGGTTTTCTAATGTGGATGAAGGCATTCTAATACATCAACAGCCTTGATCTAAATCATTCTGTTGTAGCTCTGTCCGTAAGCTTATTGCTGTTGCGCTGATGGAGAGTGAACCTGCATCCCTGTCAAAGTCTTTTTCTAGGATTGCTCTGCATTTAAGCTTCATCTCTCTTCCCATTAACTGTGATAAACTGTGATATGCTGGAGAAAAGCATTCCCAGATAATAATGCTGCCACCACTGTATTTCACTATGAGAATGTTCAAGGTGAGCTGGCTGTTTTATCATTTCTCCACGCATCGTGTTTTGCATGTGGGCTAGAAATGTAACATTTTTTCTTGTCTGCCCAAAGCATCTTCTTCCATATTTGCTGTATCCGTTACATGACTTGAGGCATTTTTGCAAACTGAACTTCCGACTAATTTTTTTTAAACGACACAATATTAGAAGGTCTTATGCAGGCAATGCTCCATGTGCATTGTACATACTAGTATTGCAAATGTCACTATGTATGGTGTGGCCCCACTTTCAACAATGACATTCTTTTTTGCCAGTTTTTCATAAAGCCCAGTCTTATGGCAAGAACCACATGTACTGCAGTTTCTTCTGAGTTTTTATGAACCTCTTGGTAGTGTCGCTATTTTCTGAAAACTATGCATGACTTTCTTTAATCTTCACACACATGTGCAATTTTGTCTTGGACATTCTTACAAAAACCTTAAAGTACAATGAAGTTTGTTGTTGTGACTTGATAAAATGTGGCCAATCCGTTATATGCTGACTTTCACTTCCAAAGGCATTAAATAACACTAAACTTCTCCTCTTTCCGTAGATGTGTACACCTTTGCTTTGCCTGAAAATGCAGCCATTGGGACCACAGTGGGTAGAATCATGGCAGAAGATGGAGACATTGGCAGTAACGCCAAAATGACATACCGCCTGGAAGATGACCTGAACGAAAGCTCCACTTTTAAGATTGAAACAGACCCAGTGACACAGGAAGGAGTGATCCTTCTGGCCATGGTACATACAGTATATGTGCAATTTGCTTTACATTCACAGAGAGATCTCAAAAGAATTTTATCTAATTTTTTGCCACTCATTTCATTAAGGACACTCATATATTTTATAGATTAGTTACACATGGAGTGAAATATGTCCTCCTTTTACTCCTGCCTGACATGGAGGTGACCAGCCTGTGGTTCTGCTGAGGTGTAACAGAAGCCCAGGCTGCTTTGATAGCAACTGTTAGCTCATCTGCATTGCTTGGTCTGCTTGTTGATCTAGACAGAGAGAACACTTAGAGGTTGAAGAAACCTTAGCAGATGTTTTGAGTTTATTTGCTGATATGGGTGCGGCGCCATGAGTTCACAATCTTTTACTTCTTTTTGCATGATTCTAATTCTCTCAAACTGGGTTTGGGGTTTTTATAACCTGTAAACATCAAAATTACAAGAAATAATGGTTTGATCTACATAATATGAGTTTTACTTTGTGAAATGACAGACAAACATATTGAACTTGTTCATGATATTCTGCTTTGTTTTTATAACTGCCTGAAATCTGAGTGGCTAGGTTTACTTATCTTAATCTGCTGTGCTTAAATTGCTCTTGCAAGGTGGTTGGGGCGCTCGGCAGTCATTCATCCAGTGGCCCGCTGTGTTTTTGAGTAAAAAAATGTTTAAAGCTGACAGGAAATTTGAAAAGATCACTTGATAATTATGTGTTATTGGAATATTGGGAAGATTAATATCTGAACACCAACTATAAAATCTTACAAAAATGCAAAAGTTTAAACAAACTTAAATAAGTAATGCTAAGCCTGGTGGGGGCACAAGTAAAGCCTGGAGGCCCGCCAGGCTTATAATCCACTGGGGGAAGGAAGCCCTGCTCTCGTAGATCAGCTGTGGTCATAGCATTTCTTTTCCATGATTTCATGGTTGAAATAAGTATCTTTGCTGTACATATATGTTTACAGTATGCCAGTTATCTTCCTATGGAAAATATGTTTTACTCCTTTTATTTTTCTTTGTCTGAAAGTGACTGTGACTTTAAGAAAAAAAAAAAACATTCTGTAAATTCACTGAATAGTTGGTTGCCCTTTACACTGGATTTAGACAGCCATAAGGTCTGTAATGCCTCCAGAACTGTTCAAACAAGTGTCCATTGGGTTAAAATTGAAAACTTATGTTTAAGTGTGAAGGCAACCGTGACACCACCTATATTACATCTGCCCTAGGATGCTCTCTAATATCTCTGTCACACTATCCTTTTTGTATTCCAGTGGTGTAGAAATACATATTGTCCTGGAAAAATAATGGTTTGGCATCACAATATGTGTATCTGACACTCATACCAAATTTGATCACCTGGTACGTTGTCACAGATTTTTTTTGGGCCTGCCACTACAATATCACAGCAATGAATCATTCATAACATTATGTTTTTTTCTACATTTCTCACCGTCTTAAAGTGTTGCTCACCTCACCATGTCAGATGCTTGAAAATGCAGTAAAACTGCAAGCTTGAGTTACTTTCTGATCAAGTTGCTGCCCACGTGTAACCACTCATTGATCATTGAAATAAAATTTCCAGATGATTAATTAATCGGTAAATACAACGAATGTAAAAACAAAAAAGCCATCATTGCGAAAGTTAAGTAAACATTTTGATGCAGCAGAATACTGTAATTTTCATGCTCCCAAAACATTCTCATTTTTGAAAATGGGCGTATGTCAAAAACTTGACAAGACATTTTTTTTTTTTCCAAATCCCAGAAAATCCAAAGCTTTTATGTTTTCTTTTGATCATTCAGAACTGATCTCATCAGGGCTGTAAATCATGAAGCTGTGACTGTTATGCATTTGTATGATGCTAAGTTTTCTCTGACAGTGTGGCAGATTATTTTCATATTTGAACTGTAGCATAAGAAAATGCAGATTCTTAGCAAACGGTACTAAATGCACAATTTGGAGTTGGCTGCGTTTCCCTCACACCCTTTTCTGTGGCTGGATTTTTGTTGACGTAGGAGTTTTAACTTGTTTTAACTTTGTGGTAAGATTCCTTCAGTTACAGGTAAAGAAGGTTCCTATGGTAGCCTTGTCTCTATTATTTCCAGTGGAGGGATTTGCATGACGGTTTCTAGCCTTGGCGACTCTTCTTTCAAAACCTGTGATGACCAACGCATGTAGGTTACTGCTGCTACCAGCCGGTCCCCACATCAATGACCTAGATACTGTATGTTGCCATCATGATAATGAACTAGTGCTCCACAGACATTTTGTAAATGCTCAAAGGAGACATAACAGGAAACTCTCACTCCATCACTCTGTCAGGAGCGCCACAACATCCTATAAACCTCTCCAAGATCCAGCAAAGACGTTTCACATTGTAGCTGATGAAATGCAGCAAAGTCTGGCTGAAAAGTGTTCATTCAACTGGACGCATTTGAAATGTTTAAGACAGTAGGAAAAAAAATGCATTCATATTTAATGAGTAAGAGGCATTCAGTTTCCCCTTGGGTATTTCTTTGAAGGGCTTTATGGTGGGCAATCAGTACTAATGAAGGTCTGCACATATTTTCCCACAGTACTGTGAATCTCTCAGCTAACTTTAATTCAGATACTTTTAAGGATCTAAATGCTTTATTGACAGTGGAGTATTTAAAGATCTGGGGAAGGATGTTTTCATTCCATCAGTGATTCATTTCTCATTAGCTGTGTTTACATGGACTATCTATAATCAGCTTAATAGCCCAATCAGTAGTAAGAAGATCGTCATGTAAACACCACAATCAGATCGGACTGACCTAGTCTGGCTCAATCAGAATTAATTTTTAATCAGATTTAGAAAGCTAGAGTAACGTTTTTGTATGGATCAGCAGAAAATCAAATCTGATCCGTGGGTACATTTAAGTGTAGTCTTTTTTTTTTTTTTTTTTTTTTTTTTTTTTTGGTTGAAAATTTTAGGGTTTTTTTTTTATTTTTTTTAAAATTTTTCACAACCCAAAAATTAGGG